TTTTTATTAAAATAAAAAAAAATTCCAAAAATAAAAAATCTTTAATTTAATTGACCTTTAACAACAACCCCCCCCCCCCATTCTCGTCAATAAATTAAATAAGAAAAAAAATATTATTTTTATTTTATCTTATTTGCCCTTTACCCTGTCTCACGGCCTTTCAACAAAACACATACACACTCAGTTTGTGCGCCCTTCAATGTTTACGAGAATATAACGAAGAAAAAATTGTATTTATTAATAATATCGAGATAAAATTTTATTTTTAAATAAAATTTTAGTAAAAATAAATTTAGTAATTTATAGGAGCATAGATAACCCGAGAATTTAATTTTAAAATAATTTTGTAATTTATTTTTTAATAGAAGACTTCCGAAGGGGTCTAGTTGAAGCCGATCTAAATTCCCCCGCCTTTCTGAGATACCCTAGACGTCATTTTTTTCAATTAGGTCTTTTTTCAATGAATTATACATACCATAATATTCTTGAAAGCAAAGCCCTCCCTGAATTCCAACAGCTCCTCTTCCTGTTGAAAGATACCGGCCGAGATATCGGCTATTGAGATGGATATTTGTCTGCGTATCCGACTTTAATCCCGGTCTCTAATGCAAATTATCCGCAGATAACTATGACAAATATCGTTAGCATTGTTAATACCAGCAGCTCCTCCCTCCCTAATTTTTTCCTCCCTCCAATTAAAAATTTTTAAAAATTTTATTTTCGATAGGTCTTATATTTAGGGATATATTTACAATCGAGGTCTGCCTGTATATTTCTTAATATTTTTTCTTTTCCTATAACTTTATATATTTTTCTCTTCAAAATTTTTATCGCAAAATGATCGTCAAAAAAAATTTTTTTTATGAAAAAACCTTCTTTCCAGTCAAATTTCTAAATGCTTTATTTGGGGGAAGGAAAAGGTTTAAAAATACTTTTGAGAGAGCAAGCAAGTAATGATATACTGACTGACTATAACGACGCGACAGCCATCCCTCCCCTCCCTTCCCCTCCCCTCCCATCCCCCCTCCCTTCCCTCTATCTATCCAAATATACAACAACAAAACTAAAAACCAACCAGTCACCCAACCAACATTAAAAAAGGTCATGTCCTTCGACCTCTTACATCCTTTTTAATTTTATTTTATATATCGCTCTCTCAAAATTTTTCTCTCATTTTATTCTCTCAAACCTCGTAAAACGACCTTCCACCCATCCAAACAACAACCAACCATCACAAAATATATTCAATTTTTGACTGGACAGTCAAAAACATTTTTATATATTTTAATACCTACTCATCATTTTTATAAATTAATGACACTTTTTTGTATAATTTTTTGTTTAACACTCTAATTTTTCTTCCAAAAAATGCCATAATTTTCATCAGATTTGTGTTATTATTGAAGTAATTTATGGCAAATTTAAAATTTTTTAAAGTTGATTATCTCTAAATTCCTCTTTTTTAGGGTTGGGGTTTTTTCGGCTTTATTTTTTTCGGGCCGGCCCGAGCGAGTCTTTTTCGGGCATTCTATGCCCGACTCGATCTTTCGGACCGGGCCCCCAACCCTAAAATTAATCTTTACCTTCTAATCTACTTTCCCTCATAATCCTCCTTCGATCCTGCACTAACTATGATCCTTACTTTCAGAAATTTTTAAATTGACCGAAACTGAAAACTATCAAATTTCATAAGTTAATAATTAACCTCTACTATTTCTCTAATTATTTATTTAATTAATTCCAAAAATTGTCTTTAAGTAGTTATTTTTTGATATTGAAATTTAATTTTTTTTGATAAAATTTAAATGCTTAAAAATTTTTTTTTCATCCTTTTTTAATATTTAAAATATTTTCTTAAATAAAATACAATTTTTTTAATTTTTGGAATTTTTTTTCAATCTTTTATTTTACGCCTAAATAATAACACAATTAAATTTTGCAACATTTCTCTACCTTTTTTTTGTTTACAAATTTAATTGTTCAATTAAATTAAAAATATTTATTTTTTTTTTAATTATATTTTGAGTTGCTAATTAATTATATTTTTATTTATTTATATTTTTAATTTAAAAAAAAATTTGTAAAAAATAATTTTCTATTTTGGGAGTTTATAAAATCATTTTTCTCATTTATTATTACAGAACGAATTATGTAGCAGATGTATTATAATTTTTTTGTTTTCTAGATTTGTGTTTTTGCAACAAATATCTAAAAACAGAAAATATATTTTTGAATAAATAATAACCATTTCTTTATTTATTTTTAGTAAAAATTAAAAATAATTTTTAGTTTTGAATATAAGCTTGAATAGACAAGCCGCGACATTTGCAGAAACTTATCTTTGCGGCCTAACGCTAGGGCGCCATGGGTTGGTCATGGATTATAATTTATGAAAGTACCTATATTTTTTAAAGATTTTGTGTCTAGACTATCCAATAGTGTTTATAAATATCCTATAAAATTTCAGATTAATATTGAAATTTGATTTTATTTTTCACAATTGTCGCATTGCACGGTTGTCGCGTCTCGAATATACCTAATTAGTTTTTGCAAAAAAAAAAATAAAAAATGGGGACTATTTTAATTTTTGTCTCGACAAAATTTTAAAGTTTTTTTGCCATTTTAGATTGCCCTTTTGGGGTGTCCTTATTATAGAGGATTTATTTTATCTTATTTAATTATTTTAATTTGAACAAAAAATTACCTATATTAAATTACCGATTAAAAAAAGAATTAATTTTTTCAATAATTATTAAATTTTTGAAGCAGAATATTTAAATAGAGTCATTTTAATTATCTTTAAAAATTTTTTTTAATTGGTTAGAGGATTTATATTCCTTTTAAGGTCGGATTGAAATTGTAGTTTATTAACTAAGTCTATTAATAAGTTTATTATATTCAAGTTTTATTTAAGTTTATGGTATAAAAATGTCTATAGTAAAAATTGTCTTAAAATATATAAAACTTTCCGGAAATTAATTTTAATGTATTTTCCGGAAAAATAAAATAAACTTGGTTAGAATACAAAAATACAAATACTAAAACACAAAACTTTCCGGAAATCTATATTAATGTATTTCCTCTATCTTTCCGGAAATATAATTTTATTAAAATGTACAAAACTTTCCGGAAGGCTAAATATAAAATTTCTAAATGCAACTTTCCGGAAAATACAAGTAGGGAACTATTAAAACTTTCCGGAAAATTCTCCTTTTTGAGATTAAATTTTTATTTATAAGTATTAACCAATAATATTCTTTAATTTTTCTCTACTAATTTCTATTATAATAAAATTATTATATTATCATTCTAATAATAATTATATTGCAAAATCCTTTTAAAAATCTTTATTCTTTTTCTAATTTATTTTAAACTACTAATCCTTATTTTTTCAAATTAATTTTTTTATTTATAATTTATTAAATCCTTTAATAATTAACTTTTTAAATCCTTAACTTTATTATCCTCATTTATCTAAATTTATCCTTAAATTAATCTGAAGCCTTTTCAATTATGAACACTTTTTAATCAACTCCTTCACTTATAAATTATATAAACGTCATTTTTGATTTTATACAGTACTTTTAGAGATTATAAAGCCGACTGTTCTGGTCTAAAAATTTTTGGATTTGAGACCGAACTCTTTTCCATAGGAATCTAGATTAGCAAGCTAACAATAAACTCGGTCCGAGCTCTAGTCTGGATTATTTTCTTCGTTAGCAGAGGTCTATCGGAAATGAACGAAGGTGCCGGAAATCGGAATTCCGATTTCTTCTGTTCATTAACTAATATATGTATCTTAAAGCGGACTAGCTCAGAAAGCTTAATAGAAATTTGAGAAATAACGACTAAAATGAAACCCCTTTATATTGTGGTTGTTTTTCTTAGGATTATTTTAAATAAAATTATTTTTAAAAATAAAAATGAAATTTTTTAAAAAAATAAACTTTTTTCTGAAGCTTAAACTTAAATTGCAACTTAAATCCAATTTTTTCTATATTAATTCTAATTTTAAATTAAAATTAGAATTTAAATTCTTAAAAAAGTATAGCAACTTACAAAAATCTTTTTTGAATAATTAATTCTATATATTAATTTTTAAATTTTTAATAATAATTTTCTTAAAATAGCTGTTTTACCCTCCATTTTTAACTCCTTTTTAATAATCTCTAAAAAATTGTTTTATTTAATTAATAAAAATGAGGTGATGCCCTTCAATCTTTTTTTCTAAAAATTTCTTCAAATAGCTTCACATATTTCTTAAAGCGGATTAAAAAGAGATAATTGCTAATTTGCCAAGCGACGGATGCCAATAATCCTTTTTTGCCTTTCTCTCCTCCCCCTAGTTTTTTTACTTTTTAAAAATATTTCTCTTGTGACCTCTATTAAAGTAAATTATAAAATGTGCCAACCTCCCCTTATTTCCTTGTATTTAAAATGAAGAAAAAAACGATTTTGTCGTTAGTTTGCCATATATGGGGTATTTGTATATTTTAATAGATACCCTCTCACCTGGCTTTTTAAAATGAATATTAAAAAATGAAAATATAAATAGTTAGGTATGTATGTTAATTTTAAAAGAACAAGCATTCATTTTTAAAATACCTAATAATTTTATTTTTTATTTAAATTTTATTTTAAAAAATTTAAATTATCTTAAAGTTGCGCTTCTATTATCCCTTATTTTTGATTAAATTTGGAAAATAAATTTTTAAAAAATTTATAAAAATATTTTATTGAATATTCGAATATTTTTTTGAGTATTTAGTTATGGCTAGGGTTGAGGATCCGGTCCGGTCCGAAAGATCAAGTCGGGCATCGAATTTGGTCCGAAATTGACTCGGTGCGCGACTCGATAAAAATAAAGCTCGAAAAAATCTCGTTTGGTCTTTTCCAATATAAATAAGGCCCAAAAAATGACTCGAACGTCGGCCCGGTCCGAAACCCCATCCCTAGTTATATCCTCTAAAATTACAAAAAAATTTAAAAAAAATTTTTAGTTCATGTCCCCACAATTATTCGGTGCATTGCAAAAAGCTATGGCTATAAGTGCCTCTTCCCCCTCACAATTAACTACTTTATTGAATAATTCAAACAATCAACAACAACAAAATGATCAAAATTCGACAACGAATAATTCGAATAACCAGAATACTTCAAATATTGCTACAAGTGTTTCTTCTGTAGCTAATTTACCGGCTAATGCAAATGTTGGGTCGGGAGAGTTGTGTGTAGTTTGCGGTGATAAAGCATCGGGTAAAAATTAAGCTTGTTTTGAAATTTCTACTATATATTTCTATAAATTTTATATTTTCTTTTAAGGAAGGCATTACGGCGCTATAAGTTGTGAAGGTTGTAAAGGCAAGTTGTGGTTTTTTAAAATTGTATTACATTAATGTTTCCGGAACTATATGAATATAGTTTCCGGAAAAGTTTATTTAATATTAATTCAAGTTTATATTAAATAAACTTGAATATTAAATATATGAAATATAACTTGATAATTATAATTCCAGAAACTATAAAATATAAAAAATATTCCGGAACCTATACAAGTTTACTACATATTAAATAAACCTGGGCTATAACTTGTAATATATTTACTATAATATAAATTTGAAATAGGCCTATATTTCCGGAAAAGTTACAACTTTACTCTATTAAATTAACAAATATAGGTAACTTGTAATAATTAATAAACTTGGAATATTATAACTACTAAAATATTAAATAATTCCGGAAACAAAGTTCATATTATATTTCCGGTTTTATTTCTATAATACCCTCAAGTTTACCCCTTTAGGCTTCTTCAAACGCTCTATACGTAAACAAATTGCCTATGTTTGCCGTGGCACAAAAGATTGTCCAGTTACTAAATTCCACAGGAATCGCTGTCAATTTTGCCGATTAAAGAAATGTTTGACTAATGGGATGAAAAGTGAATGTAAATAAAAATTTATTTTAATTTTTTGGTTATTTTTAAATTATTTTAATAGCTGTCCAAGCTGAACGTCGGCCAATGAATGCAGCTTTGGCGGCCGCGTCCGCTGCTATTTCTACTAGTTGTAGCAGTAATAATAATAACCATAGTTCTTCATCTGCTGTAGCTGCAGTTGTTGCGACTTTAAGAAATCGTTTTCCTTCAATTAATGCATCTAATTTGTCCCTTCCTTCACATTCTTCAACTTCATTTTTATCGTCTTCTAACCAATCCTTAACTACAAATTTATTTAATAATTGTGTACTGTCCACTTCTACCCCGTCTTCTTCTGCTTCGTTTTCAACACTAAATCAAACAAATTGTGGAATTAGTTTTACACCAACCAGGAAACGTACTTTAACTAAAGATGATGATAGAGGAGGGGAAGATAATTTTAGAAATGTAAGGAAACTTTTTTAAAAAAATTTATAATTTTTATTTAGGTATTCTATTTTAAATATATTTTTAGTAAAAATTATTACATTAATACTTTTAAAATTAAATTTAATATTAGTAAGGTGTAATTATTATTATCATTGTATTACTTATCTACTTTTACATAGTTATATATATTAAACTTTCCGGAAATAAAAATATTCTATTTCCGAAAATATTTTTATGCAGGAAATACCTATATATACAGGAATATATTAAACTTTCCGGAAGCAAAATTATTACTGAAGTTAAATAATTAAAATTAAATATTAAACTTTAATTATTAAACTTTAAATATTAAACTTAATATTAAACTTTCCGGAAATTGAATTATATTCTTTTCCGGAATACTTTTATTAAAAGATATATACATTATATTAAACTTTCCGGAAAAGGAAATATTACCGTCTAATTGTGAAGACTTTCCGGAATTGAAATAATCTAAATAAGGGAATATATTAAACGTTCCGGAAGCAAAAATAACTATAAAATATTAATTTTAAATTATAATTTTAATTTATTATTCAGTCTCCTCCTGAACAACAACAACAAATTTTATCCAAATCAAGTCAATACAACAACATACAACAAGGTCTTCTAGCATTCGTTAACCGACACCATCAACAACAACATTTACTTCAACAATCTTTACAACTTAACGAAACGTCTTCAACGGCTCCTTTTTGCTCTGAAAGTTCTTCAACATTAATTCCTTCCTTTGGCAACATTACAAGTCCAATAACAACAACTACTTCTCCTTTGTTAAAATCATTTTTTACGAATACTTCGGGAAATATATTAAATCTAGGAAGAGGAACTATTGTTTCTCCTCGTAATCATCAACAACAAACAATTATTGGAAGTCAAAGCTCTACAAGTACTTCTTCACAATCACCCCCTTCTCCATCAACTAATGAATTTGTTGGAAGTAGTAACAGTTTTTTGGCACATTTGTTAAATAGAGAATTTATGGGGCAGAATTATAATAATCAACAACAGCAACATTCTGATATGGCTACAGATTTTGTTGTTGGATTCCAGGTACTTTTGCGAGTCTATTTTTAGTTTGCTTGGAAGTAGAGGTCAGATAGGGTCGAGATTTGTTATCTTGTTAAAATATTTTTCTAAATATCGAGAACGTATCTCGATTGATCCCCAAGTCCTTCCTCTTTTCCATTAACATCAATCTTATAGAATGCCCACCACCAACAGCAACAACAACAACAATTATTAATGGTTGATTTAAACAACCAACACCATCAACAACATTCTTCAACTACCGGATCTTCGCGTGATTCAACAATTTCTGTCAATGCTGTATTGTCTGCTACAACCTCAACAAACATTTCAATACATCCCCCACAAAAACATTCTTTAATTAGTTCAGAATTAATATTTGAATATACGGATCAACCATTGATAGATACACAAAGTGTGATATTTGATTTGCCTATTCCTGCTAGACCTTCTTTGGATAAAAATGGAGAAGGAAATAAAGGAAATGATTCTTCTTCTCAAGATCATAAACAAGCATTGGGTTATATTTGTGAAAGTGCTTCTCGTCTTCTTTTCCTTTCAGTTCATTGGGTTAAGGGAATATGCGCTTTATCAGACAAGTATACGTTTATAAAAATATATATGATTCTCCGTAATTCTGGAAAAAAAATTATTAGCTATAAATATCTAAAATTAAACTTTCCGGAAAACTTTATAATTCTCCTGAAATTAATTCCGGAAATAAATATATTTTCAGGAAATACTATTTAAAATACTTCCGGAAATGTAATAATATATTTTTCCGGAAATGTACTAAATTTTCCGGAAATTAACTCTACTTAATTTTCAGACATTCACTAGTAGAATGGTTGATGCGTTTAAGATGGTGCGACCTTTTTATTATTGGTCTTTGCCAATGTGCTCAGGAGTTGGATCTGACTTCAATGCTTCGTAGCATTCAGGATCATCTTGGCAGTCTCTTAAAATATGGTACATAATAGAAAAAATTTTCTTTGAATTTTTTTATCAAAAATTTTTATCAATTATCATTTCTAATAATTTAAAGGTAATCAAATTAATCGTGATCATTATGACAAATTATGTTCTCAAATTAACCAATTACTTAATCTAGAGAAGCGCATACGTAATCTCAATTTATCAGCTACCGAATTTGCTTATATGAAAGCTATTGCTTTTAGTACTGAAGGATTGCTTGAAGATGGTGAATATTTTTAAAATTTTTGTGAAAAAAGTTAAAATTATTTTTAGCTCAATTTGTACCATTTTTGCGCCAGTTTAATTCTCGAGCTTGCCAAGAGCTTTTTGCTCATACTATTGCTGCCTTTACTCATTCAAGTAATTCTCAACATTTTTTTGTTGAGGAGAAACAGCGATCTAATTCTGAAGAGCCTCCAACAAAGAGGAAAAGGCTTCTTTCGTGTAGCAGCAAGAATGGCAATGAAGCGACAAATTTTTGCTTACCCGAAGCTGCTTCATTTACTGATAGACATCATACTAGAAGCAAAAGCAAAGATATTAATAATGCTACTGAGGAAAGGCCTCAGAGAAGTGAGAGTGAGCCAGTCGGTCTCTTAACTAGAATAAATCTAGAAAACGAGAATAAATCTCAAAAAACGCCTGAGGCAACAATTTTAAAAGATAAAATTCCTTCAATAGCAGATAATCATTTAACTTCATTAATTTCTGCAATAGAGAGGCATTCACAACTTCTTCAGTTATTACCTATTTTGCGCTTATTTAATGAACAATTAATTGTAGAATTATTTTTCAGGTATAAATATTATTAAATAATAAGTATTATTTCCGGAACTTAATAGTATATAATAATTCCGGAAATGTTTTAAATAATATATAACATTCCGGAGAGTTTATAATGAGTTGTTATTTTCCGGAAATTATAAAATTCAGAAATACATGTATCCGGAAATGTATTAAATAATATTCATAACTTCCGGAAAGTTTATATAAAACAATGTTATTATTTTTCCGGAATTTTTTCCGGAAAGTTTATAACAAAAAAATATCTTCCGGAAATTATTAATATTAATAAATACATGTTTTCTAAAGGGTTCCGGAAATCTAGCATAACTTTAAAATTTATTTCCACTATAATATAAAATTAGAATTTTTTTATTTAAGTGGATTAATTGGCAGTCTTTCGATAGAAACAGTCGTATGTTTTTTATAAAAAATAAATTTATCTATTTTTAATTTTTCCCCACAGATCCCTTTTATTTTAAATACTGACACTGAACAAATATTTGAACAACGTAAAAATCCTCCACAACCTCCCCCTCCTCCACCACCTCCACCGCCAACATCCCAATCCTCTTTTGCTTCTTCTCTAAAAAATCAAAATAATCCAGCTTATTTTTGTTGCAAAAAAGAACCGAAAGAAGAATTAGAACGGGACTAGAAAATCATTTTCGAGTGAATATTTTGTTAGGATCAAAAAATTATTTTTTAATATATAGGTAGATTATTGGACCGGTTTATATATTTATTTATATATTTTTTGGAGAAATTTTATTTTCTCCCTCCCTTATTTCTGTTAAATAGGTGATACAGCCTAATGATTTTCCCTAAAAATATACTACTAAATTTTGAATTTAAATTTGTGGAAAAAATTTTTTAGTTTGTTTTGAACGACCAAATCCCTTCCATTTTTTAAATCCATATATGTATAAATATATAAATTTATTTTTATCTTTTTATTTTATTTTTAGTCCAACGATTAAATATCTCTATATAATATTTTTAACAAAAACTAGATTTATATTTTTAACTTTGTTGCGAATATTTTTAAAAATAACTTTTATATTTCCCTTTAAATTTCATGATATTTTTTGTTAAAAATTAATTTCAAAATTATTTATTTTTAATTTAAAAAAATTTTAATCTTTAATTTTTGTTTATATTTTTATAAAAAAATATTTTTTCGTTGTTCAATTGTCAAAAAATTATTTTTTAATTTTTTCAATAATTTCCAAAAAAATACTCGTAACAAAGTTAAAAATAATATTATTTTTTATTTTTTTATAATTTTTTTCTTCGTTCCTCCTATATGATCATCTCCCTAAAATCATTCACACTCGTGCTTTCAAATTATATTTCTTCAATGAATCTGGTGTATAACACATAACTTCTTTCACATTTAATATTTTTTCTTAATTATCAACTAAAATAATTGATTATATGGTAAAAATATTTTCTTTTATTAATTATAAAATATAAAACTTCACAAAAATTCAAAAAAATTTTATTTTTAAAGTTCAAGCAGTACACGCTGTAGATGAACATTTTTCGGCAAGTACTGCTTGAACTTTTTGATTTTTTCTTCTTCACCCCTTTATTTTTAAATATTTATTTTATTCGATTTTTAATTAATTTTCTTTTTTTTTCTTTTTTTCCAACCAGCTTTTTATGCGTGCAATTTTTACATTTTTGTCGCAAATACAATTATATCACACAAACATAAATTTAAACTTTTATTATTTTCTCCTTTTAAAATCAATTAAAAAATTCTTTTAAAACTTTTTTTTATTCAATTTTAATTTTTATACTTTTTCTTTATTTTGTTGAAATTAAAAAAAATTTCTTTTAAGGAAAAGTATTTCTCATTTTATTTTTATTTTTATGTGTAATATTTTCACTGAATTTTATTAAATTTTTAGGAAATTTATTTTTCTTTGTAAAGTTTATTTAACAAATTTATTTGTGTAGTGCTTTCCGGAAACTTAAGTTTATTTACTTAAATATATGAAATAATGCTTTCCGGAAATATAAGGACTCAAGTTTATTTACATGCATACTCTCAAATAATCCTTTCCGGAAACAAGCTTATATTTTAATATTTCCGGAAACTTAAGTTTATCGTTTGATTTATTTATTCTGAAAATTAAATTTTCCGGAAACCTAAGTTTATTAACCTGATTCTTTAACGTTTTCCGGAATCTTAAGTTTATGTACTTGCTTATTCTGAAAATGAATATTTTAAATAACCTTTCCGGAAACTTAAGTTTATCGTTTAATTTATTTATTCTGAAAATTAAGTTTTCCGGAAATATAGATTTATATTATAACTATGTATAAAATCAGAATTTGACCCAAGTGCTTTTCACCCCCCATTTTTTTATGTTATTCATTTAGTATGGCTAGTTTTTTTCTTATTATTATAAAATTATTATAAATTGATTTTAATTTTTAAATTTTATAAGTTAATTGAATAAATAAATGATTGAGTTTTTTGTAGAATTATTTTTAGAAATTTATTTTTTTTTAATTATAAGATATACAATCTTTATTAGTAATAATTATTTACCAAACAAATTTTTGTAAAAAATGGAAAAAAATTATTTGAGGTCGTAGCTGTATGTGATAGTCGCCGAATTCTAGTCATGGTCAATTATTTTGAATTTTCTATTTATTCCCATTATTCCCTTCAATTTTGAAAAATCATTCTTTGGAGATTATTTTTTCAAAATAATTTTTAAAAATATTTATAGATAAGATGAACAATAAAAATAATTAATTTAAAAAAATCTGTAGAATATCAGCAATAAAAGGAGGAATGAATAATAACTCAAATTTTTTATTTAAATGCTTTCCCAAATTTTTTACAGTTTTACCGTTATTATTATTACTAATTTTGGTATTTAATTAATTTTTTAAAAAAATTAATTAAGATTAATATTTTAATTTCTTTAAAAAGTTACTTGGCGATGATCCCATTTCTAAACAGATTGGATTTGTAGGCAAAGGTGTAGATGCTCTCCCACCAAGTGAAATCTGCGATAATTGTCAAAAGTATAATTTAAAAAATTTTTATTTGAAAAAATACATCATTTCCGGAAGATCTTCTAATAAATATAACATTCCGGAAAGTTTATAATTTCCGGAAAGTTTATAATAAACCACTTTTTCGGAAAAAATATATTTAGAAATACTTTATTTCCGGATGATTTTCTACATAAATATATTTCCGTAAATATACTTTTCCGGAATTAAGGAACTTTTCCGGAATACTTTCCGGAATAATAAATATACTTTTCCGGAAATAATATAATAAAACATTAAACTTTCCGGTTGACTTTTCCTGAATTATTTAGAGTTATTTTCTATGCTTTTCAACATTATCGTCAATCAAGCACCAAACGACTACTTAAGCATTGGATAAAGCATTTATGTAATCGTTATTTTGAGGTATATTTCATCCAAAATTATCACAAAATTTGACCAATATTTTCAGTACCGACGCCGTTGTCATTCCAAATTGGTGCATAATTTTCGCGAAATTTGGAGTGATATGGAAAGCATTCTTGATACAAGTCAACGACAGAGACTTAGGCACTATAATGGAGTTGATACAAAATTTAAGCCATACAAGACTTGCGAAAAATTGAAGGGTATTAAATTAATTTATTATAGCAAATTAATTTGTTAAAAATCAGAATGTGGAAAGGAACAATCGCCTATTGACTGGACAAAAGGAAAACAAATTTCTGTAGAAAATGAATCGTGGACAGAAATAACTCCCAAACAAAATAGCGATGAAGTTTAAATGTTTTTAAAATTAAAAGTTATTTATGTAAATATATATTTATTTAATTACTATAATATTATATAATGCAGGATTTCAGTAAAGGTATATAACAAATACAGCTTTCTGGAGAATTTAGAATAGGACATTTTTTCCGGAAATAATATAGTAAATATTTAAAAATTGCTTGATTTCCGGATTAATTTTCTATATTAATATCCTTCCGGAACTAATATAATAAAGCATTCAAACTTTCCGGAAACTTTATAATAAACTTTATAATAAAACACTTATTTCCGGAAATAATATAACTAACAACGAAATACATGCCTTCCGGAGAAGTATAAAATAAATATAACTTTCCGGAAAGTATATAATATAACATTATTTTTCCGGAAACTATTACATAGTATCGTATCATCAACAACAAGCAACTACTTTCTTGAAATCTATTCTTGAATCCAAATCTGTTCTTCTTAGTATTGCATGCTTCATTCTCTTCTTTGGATGATCTTTATGATAATGCGGTAAGAAACTCTTTTCATCTTAAGAATAATTTTCATTTCAATTTTATTTTTGCTGGTTACCTTTATTATTTTCACTCCACCTCTGATATTCACTATTAACATTTAAAATATTAAAAACACTTTGGTCTTGTCTATGACAAACTCCAATTAACCCTAACATGTGATCATTACAATAAAGCGCTGAAGAAGCTGGTTCAATACATTCTTGAGTTGCTGCACAGAGAAGAGCCCTTTCATTTAAATTTAATTTTTTATTTAATTATTTACTAACCATTTAAGAAATTTTCTTGTATACTCGCTTTTATGGAATACAAGTAAATTAGCTTCATACATGTTAGAATCCCATTTAGAGCTTACATTTATCCAATCGGTAATCATTGGCAAATAGGAATACATTCCTATAAATGATGATTAATAATAATTGCTTATATATTTTTGATATTAAATAAACTTTCCGGAAATCATTGTCTTCAATATTAAATAAATATTAATATTTTCCGGAAATAAAATACTTGTTTTATTATAAACTTTCCGGAAAGTTATATACCTAAATAGTATTCTCCTACTTGGATTTGTAGCAAAGCGAATACCATGATGATTATCTTAAATTATATTTATACTTTATTTAATAAAATTCTTTTCTAATTTTAACCACTAGGAAGAACAACGGGTGAAATACTCCCGTTTTCAATAGAGTCGAATAATGGAATTAAAGCAGAAGCTTCTACAAATTGTATTGAAGTATCACACCAAATAAAAGTGTCAAACTCTGAGAATATTTGCTAAAAATAAAATTTAATTTTCTTAGAAATAAAATAATTAATTTAATTAATATACAGCCATAATAAAAATTTTCCAAGCAAAAAATTGTGAGGAATGTACACTTTTAGGCATAATGTTCCAATCAAATTTTCTCCATTCCAATTCACATACTAAATCTATTTCTTTTTTCTATCAAAATTTAAAATAATCTTTTAAATTATTTTAAAAACCATTTTAATTTCTTCATTAATTCCACCCAAATCAAATCCAATAATTTTTTGTTTGCAACCAAATACTCGCTTTAAATTTACCAAAACAGTTCGAAGATAGTTAAAGAAAGATTTATTTGAGCCGACAACAAAAACAAAACCTTTTTCACCTGGTCTTTTGACCTTTAAATAATTTTTTAGATTAAAAAATCGTCTAGATATTTTCGATCCTAAGCACTCAAAAATAATTTTCGCCTAAATGATATATTTTTACAAAAAACCTACCTTAATTTTCTTTTTTAAAGTAAATTCATCAGATAATTTATATTTATTTAATAATTTAATAAATTCATAATTAAATTCTTTTCCATATATTTTGTTTATTGATAAATTGTTAAATTTTTTAACAGTAATACTATAAGCCATTTCTTGAGATTGACTAAAATTAAATTTTAAATAGAGCAGAAAAGACGGAAAACTTATTAGAACATATAACGTTTCCGGAAAAGCAAATAGGTAAATATAACTTTCCGGAAAAAATATAATAAAACATTCTGGAAATTATTTATAAACTTTTTCCGGAAAGTTTTTAATAAATCGTTCCGGAAAAATAAATGAATACAGCTAGGTAACTTTCCGGAAAGATCATAATAATAATAGTATATATAAATACAATACTTTCCGGAAAGTTTATAAAACATTCCGGAAAGTAGTAATATAATTAATATTGATAAATAAACTTCTTCCGTAAAGTTTTATATAAACTTGCTCTATTATTTAATTAATTCAAACCTTTTCTTTATTTTACTATTTTTATTAAAATTTGTAGGTGTATTTTTAGTTACTTGTATAGCTTTTAAAATATTATATAATAAAAAAATTGTTGAAAATATTATTAAAAATCGAATAATATAAAAATAAATAAGTTTAGTTTTTGATTTAATTTTTCTCATTAATTTTTGAAAATAATTACTTTGAAGAAGATAATTAAAAATTAATTTGATGTATTAATGTTAGATAAAAATCAAATAAAACTTATAATATTATTAGAATTTTTTATATTTTAATAATCCATCTTTTCCAGTTATTAAATAAATATTTTTATGGGTGGGTGGTCTGTGAAGAAGATTTTATTTTTTTAATAAAAAATAACTAATAAAAATTTTTAAATTTTTAACATTTTATGAAATTTCCGGAAAATTATATTTAATTAATGTTTCCGGAATATTATACATATTGTACTTTCCAGAAACATGTATTTATTAATATTAATTATATTCTGTCATTGTGTTAAAAATTAATAAAAAAAATTTTTCATTTATTTTTTCAAACGTTAAAAATTTTTGCTCTTTTATAAAAAAAAAATAAATATTAAATTAAATTTAAATAAATTAACATTAAACAATATTTAAATTATCATTTAATTCATTATTATTTTTTATTCTTTCTTCCCTAATAGAACTACATGATTGTCCATTTGTATCATTTTTATTTTCAAATTCTGAATTGTTTTGATAAAATCCGTCATTTTGTGTATACGGATAATTTTTATTTCCTCCTAAAAAATATTTTTTAATTTTATTATTTAATTATTTTTTCAACCAATTGTGGATAATGAGGTTGTAGTTTTGGTAGAGCGACGTTTACCCTGATGAGTGCGTGGAAGCGTTCTCTTCTATGAAAAAAAAAATTTTTCTATTTTTTTATAAAAATTAGAGATTTTGGAAAATGGATGGTTCTTCCAAAAAATTTGAAAAAAATCCAAAAAAAATCACCGCAACTCTCCCTACTGGCTGATATCTTGTTGAGTTAGATGCCCAATAATGACAAATAATTACTGATGTAAGAATAAAACAAACACCGACTAGTACATTGCCTAAAAGCATTAAACCAGAAAGACCATTTGCTAGGCCGGTACGAGATTTTAATTTGCTTAGGTGGTCTTTAAAAATTTTTTAGATAAAATGATAATATTAGATACCTAGCCAAACACCTGTTGTGATCACCTAAGAATAAAATTAAAAAATTGGGAAAAAAATTATTTAAAGTTACAGATAGAAGATTAGCCACTGAGGAAATAATGCACCTAAAAATAATAAAATTAATTAAATATCTAACTTATTAAATTAATTTTTTAATAAACATACATAATTAGCCAACAAACCAACATCGTCCTTTATATTGTTAATTTTAATTAATTAAATAAATCAAAAAATTTTATTTTCTAACCAACCTCCAACGAAATCTTCAAAGAAATAAAAAAATAAATTAAAAAATTAATTTATTAATTATAAAACACCTGTGAACAGCTCCAAGTCCCATTCCCCCTGTAAATAAACCAACTAAGGAGGAAAGGACATTTATATGACAAGTCCCCTGATAAGCACTTTCCTAATTATATGAAAATTAAAAAATAAAATTTTTTATAGATATCACTTGTTCAAATCCAGGACAATATAAGCCATGAATACCATAAATAGCGGAAATAAATATTTCTGCCTTGCATAGATGAGTAAGAATTTGTACATATCTAATTATTTAAAAATTGTGTATTTTTTGTATTTTCTCATTACATTTCCGGAAAAAATAAGTTTTATTTTATAAAATTTCCGGAAAGTTATATTTAATTCTTTCCGGAAAAACATATATTTCTTTAATATTAAAGTTGTATTCTATTACATTTCCGGAAAACTATAGCGGAAAGTTAATTTCCGGAAAGTTTTATTATTTAATATTTTTCCTGAAAAAATAGTTATAATTTATTTATTAAATAAACTTATACTCAGTATGTTGAAAGCCCGATCGTTGCATTACTGTAGAAGGAGTAAATTTTAAAGGGACAATATTTAATTTAATATCCATTTTATTTTCAAAAAATGTTATATCTACATTTTAACTAAATTTTTAATTTATTTTTATAATTAAATTTAACATTCAATCTTGCACATTTTTTTGTTTTTATTTTAATAACCAACCGGTATATGCCTTAAATTTGCGCCTAATTTGGGGAGGTGTGAGAGCCATCCCCCCTCCTCCAACATTATCACCATAATCATCTTCTTCTGACTCATCGAAGCAAGAACTCTATTAATTTTATTGAAAAGTTGAGTATAAAATTAAAGAGAAAAAGAAGGGGTTTTACATTCTTGTGTGACTAATAATTTTTATTTTTCAAAAATAAATTAATTTTAATTAATAGAATTTTATAAAATAACAAAAATATGTTTATCAGGTTCATTATAACCCAAGAAATTTAATTAAATAATCGACCTTCACAAATTAATAACTCTGCTTATCTAAGCTAATGGGAGGGTAAATCGAAGGGTACCATAACTAAAATATTTTTTATTTTTATTTTCCCTTACACATTGCCCGCTATTCCCATTTCGACTGTTGCTAGCCGATCCATGATGACTGTGATGCTGATGTCTGTCTAAAATTTCTTCAGGTATCATTATTCTTAAAGTAGGGTCTTGAATTGGTCTAAGAAAATCAAACATTTATTTTCTTAAAAATAAAATTAATTCTAAATATTTGCAGAAAAATATAAATTTGCGGACTAAAATAAAATTTACAAAATACAGTTGCGGACTAAAATAGATAAAAAATATGTTTAAAATTATATTTACTTAAAATATAAAAATCGTTAAATGTTTGCGATAATGATCATAAAATATATTAGAAAATGTGTGTGAAAAGTGGGTAATAGGAAAATTAATTTAATTTATTTAACGAAAAAACTGTCATCAATGAAACAATTTTGATCGTCGCGCAATGCTAAAAAAAAGAAAAAATAAATTTTTTAATAAAAAATGATTAAAAAATATTATTTTAAAAGAATAGTATGCATAAAAGGAAATATAAAATATCATGCGATATTATTTTGAAGAATAAATAGAGCAAAACGTATTTTACTTATGCACATTTAGTCTAATTTATTACATAAATGTAATAAATAGTACTTTAATTTTTGATCAATTTATTTAATTTTAGAAAACCTTCCGGAATGTTATATTTCCGGAAAGTTTTGTTTTATTTATATTTCCGATAGGATTTATGTATTTAATTTCCGGAAAGTTATATGTATTTAAATATTAATGTTTTCCGGAAAGTGTATTTCCGGAAAGATTTATTAAATATATCAAATTATCCGGAAAGTTTTATTTAACGATTATTTATTTTATTACAATATAGGAATGCTATTTATTTATTTATTTAAAAATGTTGAAGATGACAGACGAAAGTCTTTGACCTTGGGGGATATTAGTAAAATAAGCACATCGATCTGATCGATATAAAAATATTATTTAAAAATAATAAAAAGCTCAAAAACATTTTTATTTATAAATATTAAATGAATACGACATTTGCAGATATAAGGCTTAATCCGCAAGTGTCGATGCGCAAGTGCCTTTTTAATAATAAAAAATCATAGAAAAAATTTGAAAATAAAATTTATTTTTATTTAATATTTTTAAATATCTAAATAATTAACTAAAATTTAAATTTTTTTAATATTTACAAAAACAATTATAAAATTCCTCAATTATTGCATTAATCCATTAAAGTCTAATATATTTGAGTTTGTTAATGCTTCCCCATTTTCACCAAAAAATAAAAAATCTGAAGAAGTTGGAAAGTCTTCAATTGAATTATTTTGGTCAATTAGATGGTCTGAATCTTTGTTAAAAAATATATCTTGGAATGAAGAATGGCCGTGTGCTGATATATCGTTGAAATTAACCTGAAATATTAAAAATAAAATTAAAAATTAACATTTTTATTTGAATATAATTGGAGTTAGACCTCCTTATATGATACTATTATTATGATATTATTATTTTGAAATTAAAAATTGGAAACAAAATTTTTTAATCATTGGAACTAACAGAATTGTAGGTACCTCTTAATGAGGTGCATTTTAAATTAATGGCATTGCCTAAACAGTTCCTCACATCCAGATCTTCAATTAATTATTTTTTGCGGGTATATTTTGCGGAAAAGTTTAATAATAATTAAATTGTTATTAATAATTTTTCCGGAAAGTTTTATTTAATATTTATTCTATTTTTGCAAATTCTTCCTGCGTACAAACATAATAACAATTGAAAAAATTTGTTTACTTGTTCTCCATCAAAAAACATATCATTATCATTACTACACCCAACATCAAAATCTAACGGATTTAAAGCTGTTTGATTAGAACAACATTCCATCATTGAACTATTATTAATATTTGTTGCTGACTCAAAATTCATAATTATGTCAGTTTGTGTACTCATTTCACATTTTTCTGTTAAACATACACAAGATAATGAAGAGGAAGTAAATGGGGAAGAGGAGGAATTAGAAGATGAGGAAGAGCATGGTTGGAGTGGAGGAGAAGGCTGTTCGTAGGCCTATTTGATAAATTGATAAAATTTTATAGAGATAAAGAGATATGATTTATCGGTTCAAAAAATCGAACGTTTCCGAGGCTACAGGCTATTGATGACTCCAAAAAGAAGCCGATACTAATGGCTACTAATGGCTTAAATTTCTGATAATTCAAAAGTTCTACATATAATAGTTTCTGAAGGTTCCATGGTTCCTGTTCCGAAACCGTGGAACCGTTGAAAATCACTAGATGATTACCGAATAATTCCCTTGAGAAGAGGATTCACCTCCAAACATCGGTGGGCTATAAGAAACAGGATGAGGACCGACGCTTGTAGTTAAATCAAAAGCATCCTCATCAGCAAGAAAAGCACTCAAAGGCCCTTCTTGATTATACGAAGCTGTTTTTTCTTCATCTCCATTATTAAACAATTCATTAAGTAAAGGATCTGTCCAGCCAAAGACTTGACAGAATTGCATATTTTCACTCATTAAACCAGAAAGTGTCTAAATAAAAAAATTTTTTTAATAAAAAATTTTTAAATTAACAGTAATTGTTGGCAACAATAATAATAAATTGCCAAAACGAGAAGCTGCATTTTGTGAAGGATGTAATTCTTTTACAGAATGAAAAAGCATATCTTGTACAGCATTGCGTAATGCTGAGGTAGCATGTTGAGCTTCCTCCGAAAGGTTTTTAGCATCTTTAATTTATAAAAATATAAATGTTTCCGGAAAGTTTAATATATTCTATAAAAATATTTTTTCCGGAAAATTTAATTAAAATGTCCGGAAAGTTGGTATAAATATACTGTCTATAAAAACATGTTTCCGGAAAGTTTAATATATTCTATCAAAAAATATCAGAAATATATTTTTAATAAATTAAATAGCCGGAAAGTTGAATATGTGTATCTCCTATAAAAATATACACTTTCCGGAAAGTTTAAAACATTTTCCGGTTTTATTATGATTACACTGCGGTGCATATGTTTATGCACACTAGTTTTTTGTTCATAATTTTATGCAATCTTATTCAAAAAATACGTTCTATATACCAATCGAAAACTCTATTCGTATCTCAGTTGACATGTTTCTGCATTTTCCATGAAAATGAAAATTGGCCGAGTTAATCCGGATCTACCGGATATACCAAATCCCATATCCTCCCATACCACAAAACCGCTTAGAAATATCTTTTTCCGGAACGGAGATATGATTTTTTGAAAATAGAAAAAAAGCGATTTTTTGACGAAAAATGGCAAAAATATGGTATTTTTTCGATTTTCAAAAATTCATAACTCGGTCGAATCTCGACCGATTTGGATGATTTTTTTGTATTATATGTAGAATCTAGAGGAGAATCACATATATTTTTTACAGACCTCAAAAAAATTTCTTCGAAAAGTTGAAAATGTAGTACCTGTTAGACCGGTCGAAAAGTTTTCGAAAATATCAGAATTTCGAAAAATGCAGAAACATGTCAACTGAGATAAAGATAGAGCTTTCGATTGCCATATAGAACATATTTTTTGAATAAGTGTGCATAAACTTATGAACAAAAAATTAGTGTGCATAAACATATGCACCGCAGTGTATTCTTTATAAATTATATAGTATTTCCGGAAAGTTTTTCCGGAAGCATCAAAAATACTAATTAAATATATGTACTTGGATCCAAAATAATGGTGGCTTTCAAGGCAACTACTTCCTCCTCCTTTAAAGCAAGTTTGCGCAAAGGTCCAACTAATTCATTCAAGGTTCGATCAATTAAATTATTTGAAAGATGGCTAATTTATTTAAATAAATTTTAAAATTCAAATTTAACAAAATACTTTGATCCATTAAATTCTGCTGGTAATTTTCTAGGCACGTAAGAAAAAGAACAAAGGCAGAGGATATCGGGATTTGAAGTTTTTTGAGCTGTCCGGGCAGAAAAATTAAAAATTGTTAGAGGAGCATAACAATTTTTAACCATCGATATCTTTAAATGTTAAAAATATTTCAGAGCTTATTAAAATTTGTTTTTGCCTTATCTGAAGTATTTATATTAACTGAGTCAATGACCAATTCCATTAAAGATTCTACCCAATCAACAGCAGCAATCGCGCCTCGATGAGCAATTTTTGAAAGCTCCTCTGGTTTGGCCATTCTTGAGGGTTCATAACACATCTTTTAAGGAAGTATAATTAATTATAGAAAGTATAATTACAGATTTTTCCCTAACAAAGGAGAATGCCTGAGGTGTCCGTGGGACTTCGTGATGAAATTTGGTAGACAGACCTCAGGCACTCTCCTTTGTAAGGGGGCTCTTTCCCAACGAAGCGCCTTCTGAGAGTCAACTATCATAAACATTGGTGGGTATAGCAGGAAGGATATAAAATTTATTTTAAAAAATACTTGAGTTCTTTTAGCACTAGCTGGTCTATTCTCGAATAGTTCTCTTAATGAAACATTTTTTAAAAGATTATCATTATTGTTTTGATGAATATCATCAGCTGGATTAGCTAAATGTGAAGATGATGTATTAAGAAGATTATCGCCATTATTTTCATCTCCTTTGGTTACCTTAAATTTATTGTTAATTTGTGTTTACATAGTTGCTTGGGCACTGGGAGGAGATGCTTATCCACAAGAGATAAAGTTGCCGGATTCGGATTGTTGTTCTCAGGACCGTCAATCTTATTATTTAATAATAGCGAGCTTTGACTTAATTTAAATTTTAAACTTAATTTTACATTTAATTCAATATTCATTAACTGCATTAATAACAATCTAGATTCTGAAGGTAATTTGCGTGTCCAGTCATTATTTTGATGAAGTCTCATCTAAAATTATTTACCATAAATCTATCTAATATTTAATTATTCATACCATATGTCCAATTAATTCTTCCCCAATAGGTCTTTTGCGAACGCGAGGTACTCGCTGTTTTCCCGTCAAATCTCTTCAAAATTTGATTTTTTATTCAAAAATAATTTTTAATTTAAAACCTATCCGGCCGTACAGCTTTTGGATCCATTCCAACTTCAATACACCTATTAAATCGACAACACCGACAACTATTTCTTTGGAATTTATTAACTATGCATTTATTTCCAAATCGGCAAATATAACGATAATTGCCTAGATTAATTAAATTATTTTTTAATTTAATAAATTTAAACCGGTAAGGGTTCGTCTGAAAAAGCCCTAAATAAAATAAATTTATTTTTAATTTATTGGAAAATATTTTGCCTTGCAGCCATAGCATGCTAACACTCCATAATGTAATTTGGCGTGACCCTGGATTTTTAAAAAAATTTTTTTTTAATTAAAAAAAGATTTTTTTCTTCAATTTATTTTACAAATCCATCCAAAAAAATGAAAAAAATTTTTAAAAATTTATTTATTTACATCTCCACAAACAGCACATACAGCCGCACCTTCAACCACCCCATTCGATGTTATTGTAGAACAAGAAGGGGTAGAATCGTGAAATTGTTGGTGCTGCATTTGAATATTTTGTGAGGATTTCTGAACAAATTTAGGACTGTTTTTGGAAGATTCTGGAAGAGAATCACGCCGAATTCTGTATACGGGGGTTAATGTAGGTGTTGAGTATATATTTGTATCTTCATTGTTATTAGAGGAGAATATTACAGGCATTCGGGCATATGGAGAGGAAAGCCTTTTAAATTAATTTTTTTAATTAAAAAAAATTTTTTTATTTTAAGAGGGTATAATAATTAATTTAAAATTTAAATGAAATAAAAAAAATTCAAAAAAAAATTTTTTTTGAACGTTCATCTTTTAATAAAATTTAAAAGAGAAAATTGATCGAGAGTTGTTTGCGAATACCATGACAATGTTAAATTGAACGATAAATATTTGAACAACAAAAAAAAGTAAAAGGGAGAGATTGGGAAAGTGAAGTCATGAAATTTTATATTTTAAATTTAATTATTAAATTTTGATAAAATAATATAAATTACATTAAACTAAATTTAAATTGATTATTTGGAGTCGTTAAAAAATTTTATTTTATTTTAAATTTAAAAAAGGGAAGTTGTGATTTAAAAAATTGAGAAGAATATATGCCTATATTTTTAGAAAAATATTTTAATTATTCAAAAATAAATAGGAAAGCAGGTATATTTTCTCTCTTAACTACCAGAGGTGGGTCGGAACAGTTAGAGGTGTCGAAAATTGGAACTTTCGGAAATCGGAAATTTTTCCAATATTTTGGAATCCGGAATTCCGACACGCCTCTTCTAACTACCATGATTGTCCGCAACCGGAAATTGCGGACTTTTAAAATTAAATGCTGATTAAAAAATTTTTTTTTAAATTTTTTTCTCGAATGTCGAAAGCTATGCTTTCCTCACCTTTCAATATTTTTTGTTGTTTTTGTAACATTATTATTATTAGAAGGGGAGGAAATAATTTTATCACTCCTTGCGGAAGACAATAAAATAATTAAAGGCTTTTGTTGGGTGTTGTTGCTGTTTATATTTAAATATTCTTCTGAATTATTTATAAAATTGCTTGTTTCAATATCATTTGTAGTTGAATGGACAATAAAATCAGTTTTTTGTAATTGAGGGGTTGTGGTTGTATAAAAAGAATTATTAGAAGGCAAAGTTTCTTCTATTTGTTCCCAATAATCAAAATCCATTTGCTTAAAAATTTAATTTATTTTAAGTTTGCTAAGAAAGTTTAAGTTTGTGTTTTTAAATAAAAGTTGGGAAAAAAGTTTAAAACTTAAAGTATTCAAAAATAAGTTTTAAGTTTGTAAAATAAGTTTTAAAAAATTAAGTTTGTAAAATAAAGTTCTAAAACTTAAGTTTGAGAAAATAAGTTTTAATTGTAAAAACACTTAAAACTTGAGGTATGCAAGACAGGTTTTACAACTTAGTAAGTTTGTAATATTAAGTTTGTGAGAATATGTAGGTTCTAAAACATTAATTTAAGTTTGTAAAATAAGTTCCAAAACTTAAGTTTGGAAAAATAGGTTTTAAAAAAGGTTGCGAAATTAATTCAAGTTTGCGAAAAAAGTTTTAAATTAAAACTTAAGGTATGCAAAAACAAGTTTTAATACATTCCAAGTTTGTAAAATAAAGTTTTAGAATAAAGTTTTTGAGAGCAAGTTTTAAAACAAAGTTTGTGAAAAAAAAGTTTATTTTTTCAAATCATTTCCTTTTTACAACTTTATTAAAAACTTTTCCAACTTTTTCTAAAGATAATTTTGAAAAATAAACTTTCCGGAAAGAAATAAAACTTTATGGAAATCATGAGATAATAAAATACAGAACAAAAATGTGTAGTATGTTAATATAAAAGTTTTTATGTGTATTGAAATAAAAAATAAGCTTTTTTTCTCTAACTAAAAATTATTTTCAATGTGATATAGTGCAACAATAAAAGGCTCCTATACAACTCATCGAATCCTTAACTCATCGAATCCTTAACTCATCGAATCGGCCAAAAACACTCAACTCATCGAATCCTTAACTCATCGAATCTTTAACTCATCGACTAGGCCAAAAATGCTCAACTCATCGAATCCTCCCAAAAATGGACGTTTGAGTCCCAGTGTTTATTTTTTTAGATTTTTTATTGTTTTGTTTATTTTTTTGTTTTTCATCTGGGGTTTCAACTAATTTTGTTAATTAGTTGATCGGTCACTCATCCAAGTCTATCCGGTCAGTGAAAACATTCTCAGATCCTGGTAAATTATGCTGGAGATCCTGGTAAATTATGCGGAGATTTTACCGAGTAAAACCGGACCAGATTAATCCAGTAGGCCCCGATTGTGCCCAAAAGGACTTTTTCCTAGCCTCCAAAGCAGCTCAAAAATTTTTTCAACGTAGATTCAGCTAGCCCTTTTGGGAGAAAAATTAACACGGGGACTCAAACGTCCCCTTTTGGGAGGATTCGATGAGTTGAGCATTTTTGGCCTAGTCGATGAGTTAAGGATTCGGTGAGTTAAGGATTCGATGAGTTAATAGTTTTTGGGCGATTCGATGAGTTAAGGAATTTTAGCCGTTTCGATGAGTTGAGTGTTTTTGGCCGATTCGATGAGTTAAGGATTCGATGAGTTGAGGGGACACGCAATAAAATGTTGAGAATATTATGGAGAGCGCAAACTTAATCCTTTATTTTATTGCCATGCAGAATTGTTTAAAAAAAGAGTGTATAATATTAAAAAAGAATTTTTTACAATTGAATGGAAAATTGTATTCAAGAAAAATTGTATTTTTGTATTTTTATGGTTATGGATTTAAGCGATATTTTTGGTAAAGTAAAAAATATTTAGCCTTGAGTAGTAACATGTGACCATTGAAGGGGGTGAATTTAGATTTAATAATTTTATAGACTGTAAATATTTTTATTAAATATATTTGACTGAAAATATGAGAGGAGGGAAGATTTGCATAAATACTAACATTTTGAAATAAAAATAGAGAAAATATTTTATCCTGTCAATTTTGGGGAATTTTTCTTGTCAATTGTTTAGTAAGTATATCAATAAATAAGAATAAGGGAAAGATAGTGAAATAATTAAAGAATAATTCCGGAAACTTTATAGAAAAAATTCCGGAAATCGAATCCGGAAAACAAGTTGGAAAAGAAATCAGTAGAAAAAGTTCGAAAATTCCGGAACCATTCCGGAAACTAAAACTAAACATTAAATAATTAACCTATAAACTTTGTTTCCAACTTTATTTCCAACTTTGTTTCCAACTTTATTTCCAACTTTGTTTCAAAACTTTAAATAAAACTTGTCTAAAAACTTACAACTTGATTAAAAACTTTAAATTAAACTTTGTTAAAAAAAGTTGCGTAAATTATTTAAAACTTAAGTTTAAGAGTACAAAATATTAATGTAAAAAATTAAGTTTTAAGACTGCGCAATCACTCACTTAAATATTTAAGAAGCTTTTGTGAATTACTAGAAAAATTATTTGAAGGGGGGAAGGGTTATATAAATAAAGTTAAAAAGAAGAAAAAGCTTTAAAAAAATATTTCACAGACTTTTTAAAAAAAGATAATTCAACATTTTTAAGTGGAGGAAGAAAGAGAGGAGTAAAAAGAATAAAAAGAAAGGGAAGGAAGAAGAAGCTTTGAAAAAAAAAATTTTTTTAATATTAAAATAATAATTTTATTTTATTAATTATTTAATTCAATTAAAAATTAAAATAAAAACACAAAACACAAAAAAGCACAATACCGACTGACAACGAATTTTATTAAAGATGCTTTTTAATAAAAAATAATTTTAAGTTAATTTTTATTTAAAAATACACTTCAAATCTTTAAAAACAAATAAATATATAGGTAGGTAATAATATCTACTAGGTAAATTTTTTTCAGGTTTACTTATGTCTGGGGTTTGTGCAAATATTGTTGTTGTTGTTCACTTTCCTAAGGAAATAAATGTTAAAAGGGAGGGTGTTTTGCTAATCAAGTTATTCACAGAAACGTTTAAAAATTAATTTTAAAAATAAATATGTAACTAATAGGTTTAGACAAGTTAAAATTATATTATGGCTTAATTAAAAATTAAAGTTATCACTTAATAAAAATAAAATTTATTCAATTTACCTATTTTTTTAATAAAATTTAAAAAGTCATTTCCTCCACTAACTTTTAAATTATTTTCACTGCTTATTTAAGAGAATTATCGACATTTTTTATAGTATAATAGACTTTTCTCGCTTTTGTTAAGTGCCAAAAAAGGGTGTTATTATTGAATATATTATTGGCAAAAATTTGAAAAAAAATAAAAAGAAATAAAAATATAACCAATAAATTTAAGGTGAAGATTTTTTTAAAAATTTTAAGTTCCGAAACAAATTTTTAATTTCCGAATTTAATTTCCGAATTTAATTTCCGAATTTAATTTCCGAATTTAATTTCCGAAATTTAATTTCCGGAAAAAAATTTTTAATTTCCGAATTTAATTTCCGAAATTTAATTTCCGAAAAAAAATTTTCTCGAACGTTTTTTCCTTCTTCCTTTACATATTTCTGATGTTGTCCTTTTATTTTTTATTTTTTCAAAAAAAAAATTTTTCAGAAAAAATGATAAAAATTCCATTTAAATTTTAATTGGTCTGTCGGTCCTTTCCTTTATGTTCCCTAAAATCCGCAAGTTTAGTCCGCAAAAATTATTTTAATAAAATAAACTTGCGGATAAAACTTGCGGACTTTTTGGGAACACAAAGAAAATAACCGGTCTATTATTAATCATATAACAGCTGAGGAAAGAAGAAGAACACAGACATTTTATCTTTTAATCTATAAATAACAATTATGGCCAAAAAATTTTGCGGACAGATTTTCTCTTTTATTGACACTCTGTCTGTTTTTATTTTTTTAATTTTAATAATTTTCAAAATAAAAAAAGTAAAAATGATTTAATGAGAACAATTATTTTTACGTTATTTTGGCGAGGAAATGGATATTAAAAAAAGGGCTAAACGACATTTGCGGACCCGCACTTGCGGACCGACACATGCGGACCGACTTTTGCGGATTCGCACTTGCGGACCGACTTTTGCGGACCGACTCTTGCGGACCGACATATGCGGACCGACACTTGCGGACCCGACATTTGCGGACCCGAAATGAAATAAAAAATAAAAAGAAATTAAAGAAATAAAACTTTAAAAAATTTAAAAGAAATTTATTTGAAAATGAAAATCAGAATCTCAAAAATGTGGAGAGCTTACAGTAAATTTACTAATGAACGAGAATTTTTAAAAATTATATCCAAAAATATTTTTTTTAATTTTTAAAGAGCTTCGGGTAGGATTTTAACCCACGTCAGATGAGGGTACAATTCTATTCCCTGCATAACAAACCAGAACTCTTTTGTAGAGTTACCCGCATTTTGGATAAGAGTTCTGATTGTGTGTCACTTTACCCGCAACTGAGGGTTGGTTACCCTTACCTCAATTTTAGAATATCGCCCCAGAATTCAAAAAATTTTCTCTTTAAAAAAAGCACAAGAGAATGGATAGGTTCAAAAGAAAAAAAATTGCTAAGATTGGCTCCGGATTTATAACTAAAACCGGTCTTTTATCATCTTTTTTAAAAATTCATTTCGGGTCCGCAAATGTCGGTCCGCAAGTGTCGGTCCGCAAAAGTCGGTCCGTAAGTGTCGGTCCGCAAGTGCGGGTCCGCAAGTGTCGGTCCGCAAGTGCGAATCCGCAAATGTCGGTCCGCAAGTGCGGGTCCGCAAATGTCGGCTAACCAAAAAAAGATAGGAAATGCGCGACGTGTTTAATAATATGTCCAAATGAATATAATTAAAGGGAGATTTTTTAAATTTGTGTTAAAAATCTATATTTATAAAAGAAATTTATTGAAAATTTTTAGAAAATTTTAATTAAAAAATAAAATAAGTTATCTAAGGAAGGAGTAAAGCTTAACAACATTTAGAATATTTATAGGCAGTGGATTAAATCCTGTTAAAGGTGAAGGTGAAAGCTCTTAGTCAGTGTATGGCTCAGGAAGCACTGCTCCGGAGCTGGAGCTAAGATTTTAAAAGCCCTAGGGCTAAAGTTTTTTACCTCACTCTCAACTATATAATTAAAAAAAATAATTTTAAAATATCATTTAGTGTCTATTAATTTTAATAATATGGAACAAAAAATTGGAACAAAATATACAAAAAATTAATACAAATATTTATCAAAAAAGGAGGACTACGTGTCTTTTCAAGTCTATTAAAAAATTATTAGAAAGAATTTATACTTAACAATCTTCTTTCTTTAATTAAACAATAAAAGTTAATAGGTTAACTATTAAATTGTCCGTTTTTTATCATTAAAAATGTAATTTAAAAAAATTGCGACTAAAGCAGAAAAATTTTTTTATTTATTAGAAGGACCAGAGAAATAGTATATGTCTTCCTTTAAAAATATTATTATTAGTTTATTATAAAATTTCTAAAAAAAATTGTAAATAAATCATATAGGCTAGAGACCTGACTGGAAAGGTCGTACAAGAATCGAGATCGATATATTGAAAAACATAGATCCCAACAACCGAGATTATTGTTTAAGACTTGTCTCATGTCAGTTCGGGCTCTAGAATAGACAAGAAACACAACTTCTAAATTTTTTGTGTTTATTTAAAAATTAAAAAAAGAAATAAAAATCATAATAGAGACAAGAAACAATTGAAATTTTTTTTTCAATCTTTGAATATTTCTTTAAAAAATTAAATTTCAAGTTAAGCTAAAATCTTTCTGAATTCGAGGAATGTAAAAATACTGACTTCCAATTTCATTACTTAAAATAATAAAATTTTTAAAATTTTATTTAATTATTCCTTAAAATACCTAGAAGGGTAAAAATAATTTCTTTCAGAATTTGTATATTTATTAGACCTAGTCCTTCTTTTATGGAGCCAATTAATTAGTGTTGTAGCAAATAATGCTCCAGACAGAATTAGTAATATTGCTATGGAGAATAAAATTATAAAGGGTTCGAGTATACCCTCAGTTTGTTCTTCATCATTTGTAATTTCTGTGTAAGAAAATATTAGAATACCTTTACAATAAAAAATTTTTACCAAAATCTTGCAATGTTGAACTGACAAATTCTTTATCGTTTAAATTATCCAAATCCTCATTTTTTGATGATTCTTCAACTAAACGATTCCCCTTTAAACCCAAATCAATTTCCTCATTTTCATCATTTTCTTCCTCAACTTTTTCCTTGTTTTCCTTCTCTTTGTCTTTGGATATTGGATTATTCTCTTCTTTCATAACCAGAACACGAATTCTTTTATCCACAGTAATTTTATCGGCTTCATTTAAATGCTCCTCCGTGTCCCTTTTTTCTAAACGGTGTTGAAGGGTGTCTCCAATATTTAAAAATTCTTTTGAATTAAAATTAGCCTCATTTTCAATTAAAAAAGTTGATTCTTCCGAAGTATCTTTCCTTGAACATTTAACAGTTTTGCATTGAGAACGACAAATAATTACTGAACAAATTCTCAAATTTAAATATTTTTTATTTTGAAAATTAAATGAAAATATTTTTACATTTCCAATTCACTTCCTCCATCAATTCTAAAAGCAGTCAAAGTAGCCTCTAAATGGTCCCCCACCCGACGCATATTTCCTATTATTTGTGGGTGTAATGAGCAACCATTTGAATCCAACAAGGGAATTGAGGGACCAGAATATTCTTGAATTTGTTCTGATATTTTATCATCAGTTATTGGTGGTAATACACGAGTAGCGTTGCATTCGGATACACGGAAGTTTCCTGCTATAATTATTTTAATAAATTTATTTTATATTTTCCGGAAAGTTTAATATATTTATGCTTTACTATTCCGGAAAGAATATTATATTCAGCAAGTTTTATATTTTCCGGAAAAATATTTAATTAATTCCGGAAAATTAATATAAGTATATTCTTGATGTTTTCCGGAAAGTTTTAAAGTATATTCGAGTTCCACCCATATTTCCGGAAAAAAGTTTTATATTTTCCGGAAAGTTTAATATAAGGTTTAATATATTCCACTCACGATTTATAGCACTATTACTCTCTACAACTGCCAACAATTTTTCTCCAATAAAAACATTGTTGATAGGTTTTCCATTTTTAAGTATTCTTAGCTTAATTCTATTATCTCCTCTATTCTCCGCAAAATTTGTTCGTTCATCCAAATATTTTTTATTTACTTTTTCCGGTTCCATTTCAGAATAGCCTTCAAATCCACTTAAAATTTATTTTTTCCTCAATTTTTTAAATTTATTTTAAAAACTTTGTAACATTCCCTTCCGGAATAGGCAATCCATTTATATAACGACAAGTAATATAAAAAAATAAATCATCTTTTGTGGTTACTTCCGGCGGTATTCCTTCTCCCACACTGTTAGACAATACTAACAATATATTTAATTGATCATTCTTTAATTTAAAAAATTTTTTTCTTAATTCTAAAATTAATTTTACATTTATTTTAGCATTACACCAATTTTTTATTAAATTATTTCCAGGTTTATTCACAAAGAAAAAGAATTCTTTTGCATTTTTAACGTTTAAAAGACAATTATCAAAACGATCTGCTGCATAAATTTTGCCAGAATAACGCTAATATTTAAATATTGATATTAGAAAGTTATTTTATTTCTGTAAAGTGTAATATATATTTATTTCCATATCAGTTTTATATTTTCCGGAATTTCTAATTTATATAAACTTTTTATACAATTCCGGAAAGTTTATTTTCAGGCAAGTCTTATAGTTATTTTATATCCGGAAAGTTTAGTTTCCGGAATTATATATTTCCGGAAAGTTTTATATATTCAAACTATTTTTACAAAATTCCGGAAGGTTTTGTAGTTTCCGGAATTTTGCTATAAAGTATTAACCTCCAAGTTTTATATACACTCCTGAAATATTATTATACAATTCCGTAAAGTTTGATATACCTATAAATTATTTATTTATATACTTGAGAGTTATTCTTCAATTGAAAAGAAACATTAGCCCCCTGTGAATCACAAAATACATAAACATTAAGTTGATTTAAATAAAGCCGATTATTATTTTTAATTTCGAAATTTTCTGAATTTTTGCTACTGGTTGTTTCTATTATTTTTTCTGTCGTTTCTTCTGTATCAGAAATTGTTGGTTTTATTGTTAATTTTGAAAAATTAAATTCTTTTGTTATTAAGGTTGGAAATATTGTTTGTGTAGTTGTGGCAACATTATTAGTATTACATTCTTGTATTCCCTTTTCAAAAAAAATTTTTTTTAATTAAAAAAATTTTATTTAATTTAATTAAAAAAATGTTATAAAAATATTTTTTACTGAATTTGGTAAAAATGAGCATTTTTGTAATTTTGTAATATTATTATTAATTATTGTAGTAGTCGTGGTTGTTGTTAATATTTCTTTGTTTTCTACAAAATTCTGTTCAAATTTATTTCCTCCAATCCTTTCCCTTTTACATGCCAATTCATAATAATTAACCCCTTGAATTAATACTGAAAGTGTTTTGTTGTTATTATTTCTATTAAAAGGCAAAATTTGACAAATTGAGGAAGAATTATTTTCAATTTTAAAATAGTAATTAATACTAAGGCAAAATTCATCTAAAATGCAGGCATCAAGACACTCATCCAGTTTGATGTTGGGAATTTCTGAGGGAAAAAGTATTTTTAGTAAAAGTAAAACAGTTGAATACCACTACAAAATACCCCCGTATGTCTAAAAATATTTTTCTTATAATGAGCGGTGTCTTAGAGTTGTGGTATCCCTCTAGCAGAACTTGGAACTATCGGAAATCGGAATTTTGGCCAACCTCTGTTCCTTCTAGGTATCTTCTCCAACCCAATAGACAAACCAAATTTAAAGCACCCTGTCGGGAGACGGGCTTCCCGACAAATTGGATTTTTAGGATCGTGGCACCAGACTGTGTTGGTTGTGCCAACACAGTCAAATAACAGAAGGAGAACAGTAAGTGAACCTCGAGGCGGTTCACTTTTCCACTCAAACAAAATACAACGACAAGTCAACAATAAATTTACTTCTTCCACAAAAAATAATAGCCAAAAAAACAGAGCAGTAAAATAAATCGAGCACTAATTAAACAAAGGTAGAAGCCGCGGATCAGCCAACCAAAAGATGAGAGTTGAAATTGAAAACTGGAAGCGGTTGAAAGTAAAAACTGGAGGTGAATGGTAATTTTTGGGGGGCTGATCCTCGGCTTAAATAGAGATTAAAAGAGGGCGGGTCTTGGCAAAAAACTCAAAAAATGCGAACTTGAAAAATAATGCTTAATAGATTATAGAAAACCAAATGTGTAGAGAGAACGGGGCAGAGAAGACAATCGGAAAAAACAATAGGAAAAATTTAAGTTGTGACAGGCGCAAACTGTCACTAAAAAATAGAGAGAAAAAATTTTGGCGGGAAAAAGGTTTAAAAAGATTGAGTGGACAATGAAAAAAATAAAGGGTGAACGGCTAAAAAATTAACGAGGAGTGAACGGGGGACAATTTAAAAAAGAGACAATTCAATGAAAAGTCGCCAAAATTGGCGACACTCCCCCCGGCCTAGAAAAATCCCCAAAATCATAACAAAAAAATAAATATTCAACCATCCCGTTTTTCTTCATTCTTGGGCCATATTGAAGAACCAGACGGAAGATTTTGAGCCATGTAGAGAGCTGTGGATGTGAGAAGGTGCATGGCAGTTTGACGTGTTGTTTCATTAGCATTTAATAATAATGTGGCTGGGTTGGGCAGGCTAGAGACGATATTGATGGAATGACCCCGCACTATAGACAGTTTGATCGGGGGTGGTGGTGGATTCTTCTTTTCTTTAACTACGATTAGGTCGTCGGTGCTGGTCGCTACATTACGTTGTTTTGCATGATGGCGGTGGTGGTGACGCGTCCTTTCGCTACTACCCCTTTTTTGAGACTTTGGTGAGGGGCGACGCTCTACCAGCGGACTATCTCGTCGTCGACGTTGTCTCTCTGATGAACGACTTTTACGATGACGGCTTGGTGATTTACTTTCCTTTCGTTGTTTTTTCTCCGGTAGAAGTGCTGCCAAACCCACTCTATCTTCTTCAGCTCTCTTCAAATAAAAATCTGCGGTTCGTAGTGCTGCTGCCTTTTCTTTACGCAATAGCTGTGTTGTTTTCGGATCACGTTCTGTAAGTCCTCCTTTGTCAGGCAGTTTTGAGAATGTGCGATAACGCCAACCAGGACCTTCTTCGATAGCTTTCAATCTTTTTTCTTTAGAGTCCGTTGTTTCACCTCTCCTCTTCAACACTTTGACGGCTGCACGATGCGCGGTTTTAGCTGCTTCTAGTCGTTTGGGGTCACGAGCCAATGCTGCGTTTTCTTCATTTAATTTTCGATTGCCCTCAATTGCTGCCATTGCAAGTTGAGAAGGTTTAGTCTTAGCATCCCGAAATCCACGTTTTCGATCTCGATAAGATTTGAGTCGTTTTTTGTCGTTGATTTGTCGTTCACGCTCTATAGAAAGTTGTTGACTGCTGCTTTGTTTCTCGCTTGGTGGGGTCGCTTGTCCGTTGTCTGATTCACTAAAAATTAAGCCTTCATCCTCTTCCGGTGCCTCTTGTCGTTCGTGTTGTTGGTCGCTACTAACATTTTCTTCTTCCAGCTCTTCCACCACTTCATTAGTTGTTAATGCCAATCTTTCACGAAGTCGATTTATAGCCCATTTTGCTAAGTCCTTTTGGTCAACACTTCCACTAGAACTTAAATCAGCGTCTACACAAGCCAGTTCTTCCAACGGGTCACATCCTGGGGCACTGGTTATGAGTTTTGCAGCTTCCCGCATCACACCTTTCTTTAATTCTTGATCCATTTCACGTGTTGTTTCCACTGGGGCCCGTTCATTTTCCAAACTATGTTGTTGTTGTTTCTCTTGTTCCGGTTGTTGTGTTTTTATAAGGTTGGCGATGGCTTCTTCTTCCTCTAAAGCGGCTTGTTGATTTTGTTGTTGCACACTACCAGATTTAATCTTCTGCTGTTGTCTCCATTCCGAAAAATAAGGACACGCTTTATCACACGCTCGATGCCCATGAGGCTGCGGCACTCCCTTGCTGACACATGATGAACACCGTGTTGTTTTAGAAGGTGGGGTACTAGTCACTGTTGTCGAGGCTTTTTCTTTAATTGGTGCTGGTTCCATCGTTACTGATTGTAGAAATTTTAAAGTATTATGGCTAATTTTCAGATTATATAGAGCGACTTTTTCCATCACTTCACAATAAGGAGGCGGGGATGAAGATAGGTTACGTAACCTTTCTTTTAATCGGCGCAAGTTCAATTCAAAAGAAAATTTTATTGCCAAGCAGGTGGCTGGTGCAAAACTATCCAAATCAATGGCCAAGTTGAGCAGAGAAGACTTCTCCTTTTCTTTGTTTAAGCATAAATTAAAAGGGAACGTTTCTTTTGTATTTAGGGCCAAAAAATGAAAATTTTTCAAGTTTGGTGTGTCGATGACAAGCACATTTTCTTTTTCTCTTTTAGCTAGGCCAAAGAATTGCAATAATCGAGTGGCAAAGTCACCAGAAATAATTGACGAAAAAATGATGGGGGATCGGTTAAAGTTTAACTGTCGGTTGTAATCCTCCCAATTTAGACCCACAAACTGATATATAGATCCATAAACTGATATATATTGATTGGAGGAGTTGTAAAAAATAATCAAGAAATTGAGTCTTTTATCCATAGAGTAGCTTTTATTGTGTTCTATGCAGGAATCTATTGCATAATTGTGAGTTATCAGAGCTTTTATTGTGACTGGCTGTTTAATTACTTTCGATTTTAGTTTGTTCCTTTTGCACCCCGCAGTATCACTAATTTTTCCTCTAGCAGTCGCGGTAATTCCAGCTTGGTAAACACACCGGAACCTTCCAGCGGCCAAAAAGCTCATAATTTGGACCTCTGTTGCAGCCGCGGTAATTCCAGCTTGGCTAATAGATAGGATTTTTTCAGCGGCCAAAAAGCTCGTTTTCGAATGATTTGTAGCAGCGGGTGTGGGTGACCAGATAGTTGATACCAAGGCTACTATTACAGTCGAAGCAAGTAAGTCACGTTGCTGTTGGGCTCTGCGTTCTCGTTGCCTGGCGCATTCCCTCAATATTGTCAGACCGAAATTCAGCACGAACAGAGCCACCAAGACAAAATATGCTAACAATACAATTCCATCGGATAGTGTATTTTCAGGTTT